CACACACACACACACACACACACACACACACACACACAAACATACAATCACACACATACACACACTCGCTTCTCCTCTTTCTTTTTTTTTCAAGCATTCTTTCGTTTTCACTTTATTATTTTTAATGTTTCTCTTCCATACACTCGTAATAGCACTTCACTTTATTAATTGAAACATGTTTCTTGCACACACGTATAACACCACTTCACTTAGTAATGAATTCAAACATTCCTCGTGTATACTTCAGGGGTTTGACCACCACGTGCGCCACGAACACAACATGTGGTCCTACATCTTTTTCTTCATCCATCTCAACGGCACCAAAGTGAACGACTACACGGCGCTGGAGATGTACGTCTTCAAACTGGTACGTACCGGCCTCTTTGGTGTGGCGGCAAAGATAGTTTATAACAAGATGGTTCACTCAGCCAAAATAGTGTCCACGGAAGTCAGCTCATTGCTTCAGATGGCTCTCTTTTGTTTCTCCAGAAGAAAAATAGGAATAGCACCCCCTTGCGTGCGCTGATTGGCTGCTGTTCACCAGCTGTTCGGGTTCGTTCAGAGTGGAGTTGTTTTTTGTTGTTGTTTTTTTGTGGGGATTTTTTTTTTGGCGAGGGGGGGGGGGCGTAAATGACCTCTCGCCTCTCATTATAAAGTCAAATTAAACGAAGAAAATCGTCGCCTCTTCCACTGGAAGAGGTTTTTTGTCTGCGTAACCATTTTAAAAAAGCGTTCTTCCGAAATTTGAATTCTAATTTATTTTAAAACTTGTTAGTTCCACTATGACTTTTTTCCACTCAAGTAGGGTAACTCTGTTCGCAAAGGGCGCGCTTTTCCGAAGAGAGCGCCACCAGATTTTGAGGACACCTTTTAATTGGCTTAAAGAGAGGAGCGAACTATCTTGTTAAGTACTATCATTGGTGGTGGTTAGGCGCTTCGATGTCGTCCGCAGAAGACCCGAATTCGATTCCCAAGTAGGGAGAACATTTTTCATCCATCTTTGTGCTGGGATGTATCCCTCTCAGCCCGAGTTGGCTCTGACAGGCTGGGTCGAAAGCATAGCTCCTAAGTTATTAAAATTTTGTCGATGGGGGGAGGGAGTTAGTAATAAAATTCCCTTTGGGGGTGATTTTTTTT